ATAATAGACAGTAATATTATTACGTTACTTCGTGAATAACTCGAACAAAACAAACACCCCAAAAAAATAATAATATTGATGTTGTTGACAGTAATATTATTGTGTTTACAGTTATTTTACTGTCAACGACAGTAATATAATTACGTTGACTTGTCAACAAATCAAAAAAAATAAAAAAAAATAATAATAAATAAAAAAATATAATATTGCATTAATTTACTGTCAACGGCAGCACAATTACATAAATGTAATGTCAACGGCAGTACAATTACGTTAATTAACTATCATTGACAGTATAATTACGCTAAATTACTGTCAGTGACAGCACAATTACGGTCAACGTGTAGCGGCGGGCGTGAAAAAACAAAACAAACCAAACAAAAAAAAAAAAACTTAAAAAAACACTAAAGAAAGAGACCGCCGGAAACCGGCGAAAAAATCCGGAAGAAAAGAAAAGAAAAAAAAAAAGAAAAAAAGAAAAAAAAAAAAAAAAAAAAAAAGTCAACGCCGGAAACCGGCGTTGACCGCCGGTCAACGCCGGAATCCGGAAGGAAAAAAAAAAAAAAAAAAAAAAAGTTTAAAAAGTCAACGCCGGAATCCGGCGGCAAAAAAAAAGTTTTTGAAAAAAAAAAATTTTTTGAAAAAAAAAAAATTTTGGGTCAAAATTTAATAATTTGTGAAATTTGGGGTCAAATTGAGATTAAATTAAGTTAAGGATGAAATTGGAGCATATTAAATTATACTCCAAAAAAAAGTCAAAATTGAATTTTTGTGGTCAAAATTGAACTTTTATGGACAAAATTGATTAATTTGGATTACAATTAAGAATTGGGTATAAATGATTGAGGGTAATATTGGGATATACATGAATGTTTCCTTTAGTTATAATAAATATTAAAGGGATGGGCTTATTGGTGAAAGAGATATGTCCCCTATACCTAGAATAATAAACATGCTTGGTTGGGGACTTTTGCATAAAAATCCCTTCTTACTTTTCATTAAGATCTAATTAAATCTTTAGTGTCCTAATCACACACGCTGTAATTAACCTTTATGTTTGAAAAAAAAAAAAAAAAAGCATTATTCATCACTTTTACCCCTCAAAAATAATTTTTTTTTTTATTTTGCAGCTCTCACGAATATACAAGTGCAATAAGACCCCTTGAACCCATATAATAAATTTAATAATGAAATAAAATTAATGACAGTATTGTGACTATTATTTTATGAAAAATAATCATTTAGATATGAAAAAATCTCATAACAATTCAAAATTTTATCTCTCTTCAGACATGATTTTTTCATATAGTATTCATATAAATTAAAAGGGGCTCTTTGAGAAAACCCCGTCACTACTTTTTTTAATTGAGGGAGGCCCAAAATATTTTAGTCCATTTGAGAAAAGTTCACACCCATTTTCAGCTATTATGCTTTCCAGCATTGTCCCCGCCCGCCACATCATCACTGGGTCACGCTCAGCGATTTTTTTTTTCCGTTTTTTCTTCCATCTTTTCTGTATCAGTTTCCTTAATCGACTATGAAGCATAGTCGATTAGCCTTAATCGACTATGCTTCATAGTCGATTAGCCTTAATCGACTATGCTTCATAGTCGATTAAGGAAATTATTTAATTATTTAATTTTTTTTTTAATTTTTGTTTTATATCAGGTATAGTAATCGACTATGATGTGAAGCATAGTCGATTAAGAATCTGCTACTAAAAATAACAAATCACAACTGCGAAAAAAATACAAAATCAACTATATATTACAAAAACAAAAAATATACAAATATTATAAATGATTTATACAATTGAAAGCAATAAACAAAAAATCCAAAAAAAAATAAAAAAAAAAATTGGAGTCGATGAACCTTAATCGACTACCAGAGCATAGTCGATTAGCTTAATCGACTATGGACATGTACATAGTCGATTAAGGTAACAGCCTGCGCGAAATTCTCTACACGCGCCTTCATCCGTTCAATCCACAAAAAAACCATAAATCTGCCTCCCCATCGTCACCACACTGCCGTCACAACACACCATCATCACCTTACTTTGATATTATGATGGTTTTTTAATTACAAACAAATAAATAAAATCACAACTCGCACCACCAACCAAGTCAGAACCACCACCCATCAAAAAACCGATTTCGATGACAAATCGACAATTTATGGCTTTTGTTAAGATCTGCCGACGACGACCCCGACCCCGACTTCGACAGCGACGACGAAGGAGACGGCACCGACGACAATGACTTCAACGGAATTAGCATCGTTGTTCCGTTCCGGTTGGTTCTTCATCTTCTGATCAAGAGAGAGTAATCTAAGAATTGAGAGAGAAAAGTATAAAATGAAGAAAAAAAACAGAGAATGGACGGGGAAAGAAGAGACGGAAGAGAAGAGAACATAAGATTAGGGTTTGAAAGAGTATAGTAGATAATTAAGGTAATTTTGAAATTATGAAAATATCACTTGGGTGGAATGTTAGGTAAGGGGGTTTTCTCTAATTATTTTTGGAAGGGGGTGTTTTCTTAACTCATTTACCTAGATGAGGCGTTCTTGCTAATTATCCCAAATTAAAAAGCATTTTATCCAACAAATTTAAACATGATATATCCAACACATCTCAAAATATAAACAAACGGTGCTTAATTATCAAATTATTCCCTCAAAACATATTATTCCAAATAAAATCAAAATAACTCCCGAAACGAATCCAAACAGTGCCTATGTGTCCGAGTAAATTCAAATCAATTTATCCCTATTTTATCAAAACAAATTATCGGATTCTCGTGAGAAGCTACTAATCAACACTACTATTATTCGAACTCTCATAAATAATAATTCAATATAAAAAACAATTTTATATCTCCATTTGGATTAAAATATATATAAAAAAAAATGTGCCCTACTGGGACATATTTGGTTTTCACTGTTGGTTTAATGGCTGGGGTTTCACTATTTAGTATTTACCTATATATGAATCTCACTCCCTTCAATTCTGCATAAGCTCACTTTTCAAGAAAAAAAAAAAAAAAACTTCTCCAAATAATTCAATGGCTAGCTAGGGTTTTACTTTGCAGCATCGAAAAATACGCACAAAAACATATATCCCTTTTATTTGAATGCAACAAGAAACCTTAATTAAGGATCTTGATCTATATATCTCTAAGCTTCTTTTATTTATTTATTTATTTTTTTAATTTTTGGATCTGGATATAGTATATATATAAACCGGCCGTAAAGATGTTTCCTTCAGAAAACGAAAATGGCGGGGTGGTGTTATTTAATGAGGGGCCTTCAATAATAATTACATCGGAGCAAGATAAAATACTCGGAGAGATGCTTGCAAACTATGCCACTGAAGTAAACACCACCGCTGCAGTAGTACTTAAAGAAAACAACAATGTCGAGTCGAAGAAAAGTGCGCATAGGGATATCGAAAGGCAGCGTAGGCAAGAAATGTCTCTCCTTTACTCTTCCCTTCGATCCCTTCTTCCTCTCCAATACGTCAAGGTTAATTATTTATTAATTCTTAATTTAAATATTTAAAAAGTTATACTTAAGATATATAGCATTTGTTATTTATTTATTTTATTTGTGTTGTTGTTGTTGATAGGGAAAGAGAGCAGTATCAGATCACATGCACCAGGCTGTGATTTACATAAAACATATGCAGATGAAAAACGAAGAAATGCGAATAAAGATAGAGAAGTTGAATAAATTAACGAATAATGTATCTGAAACAAGATCGATCTTAGAAGATCGTGTTATCATTGAAGCTGCAGCAAATTCTTCGCCTACTTACTGTGTGAAGATAAATGTTTGCAATGGTGGTGGAATTAATGAGATTTTAATCACCAGTAGTAGCAGTATCGATAACGGGAGTTTTTCTCTATCGAAGGTGTTCGTCAAATTGCTTCAGAGAGGTTTTAATGTAATCAGCTGTGTTTCTACTAGAGTGGATAATCTGTTCCTCCATAAAATTCAGATTGATGAGGTGATTGGTTAATTTGAATATTAATTAGAACAAGGGTTTTGATATTATATATTGTTTAAAATATAATTTGTTGGTTAATTATTTTTTTGTAATTGCAGGAAAATGATTTCACAAGCAATATTGATCTAACCAAGCTTGAAGAGGAACTGGTCAATTTGATGAAACGTGTTTAATTTTATTTATATGTCAGGATATCAATAATCAAGAGAAGTGATCTTGAATTTTTAATTTTTTTTTTTTATTTTTTCATTGTATTTTGCTGCTTGTGTGTTTGTGTGGTGGTGGTTTGGCGATGTGGGGCGGTGGTGGGGGTTGCGGCGCCGGCGGGGTAGTGGTGGTGGTGGGTGGAGAGTGATGAAGAAGCTGAAACAAAAAGGAAGGAAAACGAAAGTGGAAATAAATAGATTTTTTTTAACTAATGCCACGTCAGCATCCTTTGACTTTGATTTTTTTTTTTTTCAAAAGTAAAACCACTCTGCCAAATCTTGTGTACCATCTTTCTCCACGTCATCAAAATCAGTTATTGTTCTTTTATTGGTAAATAATTCCCCAATTGTTCAATTATTATGTTTGGTAAGTTTTTGGGTTTCTGTTTCCATTTTATTCTGGAGAAATGTGTTTTGGGAGAAGAATTTAGAAATAAAATAAAGTTTGTTTGTGTTTTGAGAGGAAGTAATTTGTACTGTAGCAAGTCAAATCATGTTTGAAAGGTGTTGGGAAAATGTATTTTGCAAGAAGAATTTAAAAGATAAAGTGATTTGATTTTGTATTTTAGTGAAGACAATTTTCTCTGTAGCAGTCAAATCATATTTGTTAGAGAGAAAAATATTTGAATTTGTTTTTTGTGAATATTTTTTGAAAATAGTGTCAAAAGATAATTTTCATTTTGAGAAAAGAGTGAAAAGAAATTGAAAACGTTACCAAACATACGCAACAAAAATTCTTAAGATTAGGCACATCACACCTGTACTATATGTAGCATCTAAGAAACTTCCATGAAATTAACTTGAAATTAAATGAATTATTAAATATTTCATTATTAGTTTTAATTATTAGATTTATTTAGTCTAAATATACGCTTTCATTATTAGTTTTAATTATTTGATTTATTTAGTCAAAATATACGCCATGAATAGTTTATATATTTACAAAAAGCTATGCTGCACGGACACTTCTATAAGGTGAAGAGTCCCCGTATCCGATACCCGGACACTCGGATACACCCGGACACTTCTTGGATACCCGTGTCGGGCCGTGTCATAATTTTGCTAAAAGTAGGACACCCGTATCGGGCAGTGTCCATAATTTTAAAAAAGTTGCGACACTTCTTTTACGTTTTAAGAGAAAACCCTAATAAAAAAAATGCTCATTTTCTATTCTTTGTAATACATATTTCCTCTGTTTTCTTCCTGAGTCCACCCAAAACTCCAAAAGTCTACCATGCGACGGCGACCAAGAACACGACCAACAAGGGTTAGCGGTTCTCTTATGTGATGACGACTTATACATATTTTTTACAATTTATAAATGTACCCCTATATTTTTATTATTTATAAATATACCCCTATATTTTTTATATTTATAAATATACCCCTATATTTTTTATATTTACGCGTATCCCCGCGTGTCCGTATCCTAGTTTTTTGGAAATGCCGTATCACCGTGTCCGTATCCGCGTATCGCCGTGTCCACGTATCCGTGTCCGTGCACCATAGACAAAAAGTTAAAGGTTAAGATTAATAGTAAAATTTAAATGGTAAACGCCGTTGTAAGGATTTTTGAATAAATAATAGAAAAAAATATTTTCACTTTGGTTCTTATGATCTTATATATTCTAGGGTAAATTCTACTTGCTCCTTGTACTTTGGTTCGATATCACTTTATCCCCTTCTACTATTGGTTACATAGATTTGCACTCCGTTTGAAAAATTGTCTCAATGTGGCTCTCGTTGTTAGTTGTCAAACATTTAACATTAACACCGTTTGCTCTAAGTTCTAAAATTACAAAATCGCCACCGCTCCTAGTTTACATAATTATTACACAATAATAATAATAAATAAAAAAATTCAAGACAACGAGAAAACATAGTCCACGACGCTGGCCAAAATTTATTTTTTGTAATAATTATTTAAACTGGGATGGGAGACTTTTTTGTAATTTTCAGAATTAGAACAAACAGTGTTAAGGTCAAAGGTCTGAAAACTAATAGCGAGGGCCACATTGAGACAGTTTTTCAAATACAAGGGGCAAATTAATACAGTCGAGGGTAGAAAGGGGTAAAGTAATATCGAGGCAAAGTAAAGGGTAATTGAAGGTTTTAATATAGTAAAAGAGAGGAAAGTGAAGACTTTCATTTAGTTAACGGTAGCAAGTGAAATTAACCCTAATTCATTTAAGAGCTGTTACTACTTGTTACTACTGAGTCTTTCTATCTCAGAAATTACAACTCAGTTGCATCGACAAGTGTATCTTTCTCATTCAATTTATGGACCATCATTACTGCAAAAGAATCTAAATAAATTGGGCTTATCCCTGAATGGGCCCCATGTTTAAATATTATATTAATTTCCATCCCACTTGTAAACCAATATTTTAAAAGAATTATCATATTTTAAGTACTTGTGCAGAATGAAGCCATGTCAAATAGGCAATGTATGCTTATGCAAGTGTGACGAGTTTGATATATTTCCTCTCTGCCAATACTTTTTAGGTCGACCTCGTTGTACATCATTTATCCAGTTACATATTTTGTATTATACGCGGGATATTATACAAGATTCTTATTCTGCACAACATGTGACTTTCGTTGGTTTAACTCATTCTTTTTAAGAATATCGTACAAAATAAAAAGGGTAAGTTATATTTTCCCCCCTTTACTTTGATTCGATATGACTTTACTCCCTTTTGCTCTTGATTATATCGATTTTCCCCCCGTACTTGAAAAATTGTCTCAATGTGGCACTCACCGTTAGTTTTCGGACATTTGACTTTAGTACCGTTTGATCTCAGTCTGAAAATTACAAAAGAGCCACCCGCCCCAGTTTAAATAATTATTAAAAAGAAATTGTGTTTGGCGTCGTGGACTATGTTTTTCTCGGTGTCTTGAATTTTTTATTATTTTACTTTTTATTTTTTTAATAATATTTAAATTGGGAGAGGTAACGTTTTTGTAATTCCAGAACTTAGATCAAACGGTGTTAATTAAGGTTAAATGGCTGACATCTAGCAGTGAGAGCCACATTGAGACATTTGTCCAAGTACATGAGACAAATCGAGTCAATTGAGAATAGAAGGGGGTAAAGCGAAAGCAAACCAAAGTAAATAAGGAGTGGAATTTATCCAAATAAAAATAAAATAGCACAAATGACAAATTGATGCAAAGTGGAAAATGACGTAACAAAGATTTGGTTTTTTACTTTTAACAATGCATTCTTATTAGGCTCCGGCTATATGCAAGACTAATTCCACTTGTGCAAGATCAAATTAAAATTTTCAATGTATAAATACTATAATACCCTTATTTATTAAAAAAATAAAAAATTTCAAATATGCAAGACCAAAAATTCAAAAACACAAAAAACCCTATCACAGGACCACAAAACCACAAGACCAACTCTCATTTTCTCCATCTTCCAAAATCCACAAGACCTTTCTCCTTCCTCCTCCATTAACCCACAAAACTTAGAAATTCAAAATCATCAAAACTCAACAAATCTTACAAAGATGGCAAGTATGGAGTCAGAAGACATCAAGATAGAAGATTTTACGATGGAAGAACCCAAGAATGTATGCATTTATGGGTATTTTAGCTAGAATACCGATTTTCCAAAAAAATCCCGCGCAAACGAATTCGACATGTACAGGTCGAATTTTACAGGTAAAAATCGACATTTAGATGTCGATTTTGAGGTATAAAATTCAACATTTAGATGTCGATTTTGAGGTATAAAATTCGACATTTGAATTTGTGCTATAAATTCGACATGTCAATCACTACAAAAAATAGTATTTTATGTGACACTTTCGTGTGACAAAAAATAATTTCGTCACACTAGTAGGTATGTTTTATGACAAAATTCAAAGTCGTCACAAAAATGAACATTTTATGGGATGAAAATTTAGTTCGTCACATAAAATCTATTTTAGATGACAATACTAAAAAATTGTCGTAAAAAGATGTACGTGATATTTTGAACAATTCACCGGCAATGTGTTGCGACGAGAATTGTTTTCTTACCACAAAACCAATTTCATCACAGTGATTATTTTAGGTGACATTATTAATTTTGTCACAAGGCCAAATTCATTTTAGAAAAAATATTCCTCCCAAAATTTCCCCCGATTATTTTAGGTGTCTTTCCATATTTCTTCTTTCCAACACTTATTATTTCTCCCAAAAAGGTTCTATGGACTTCTCTCTCTGTTATTTGTTCCTCCGCCACCCCCAATCAACCAATCAATTGAGTAATTCTCGGCATACATCGCCCCCAAATCGGCGGCTCAGACCAAGGGATTGACGCACAATGAATTTATGCATCAATCCATGCGAGCGCTCCGCCGATGAGCTCGGTCGTAATAAGCTCGGCGGCAGGGACGACCAGTCGCACCGTCTAGGGAGCTTCAATCATATGCGTTCTGTTCCTCATCTGCTTCTTACTCAAATCCTTCTTCTACGAAGACGACACTCTCGATCTCGCTTCCTCTCATTCCAGTGCTCTCTTCACCGTCGCCAAAAGGTTCAATCCCCCAATTTTTTTTTTTTCAAATGTGAAATTGAACAAGTTTCAGCTTCAATTTTCAATTTTTGATTTTTGATTTTTGATTTGCGTGAATCTGTATTTGATTTTGATTTTTGATTTGTTCTAATTGGTGAGGACATGCTGGAAAAACTTTATCGTGGAAGCAAAGCCTACGTCGGAATCCAAATTCCCGACCCGATTCCGCTTCTCTCAAGAATATTGATCTTGTTCTCGTCACTAATCAGTACGATTTCCTTTTTTTCCCTCTTCTGTTAATTGTTTTTTTTTTTTGAATGTTAAGTTTTAATTCCCTAAAGATATTTAATAGATCATTCCCCTTTTTACTTGAATTGTTGACAAGAAATTGATTAGTCATGTGTTTTGCTACACAGAGGGGCTGTGGTGATTTCTGTGAAGAATTTATCAGGGTTTGTGTCCACCGACAAGGATGGTAATTGGCTTTGCACCGATGGAAATCACCATAAAACCGACCTTGTGCCGAACCCTCTGTATGCTAATTCTCATTTTTTATTAGGAAACCTTCAATTTACCTTGTTGCGTAAGTATTTACCTTCTCTCCTATGTGATCAAATTTGAGGTTTGGCTTTATGATCTGAAAACCCGACTACGATATCATCTTGCTCCTCGATAGGTGGTAACCTATAGGAGAAAATTGCTATATTAGCTAGCTTTTTGTTTCTTTGTCGTTGTTATGTCAACTTTTTATACCTCTCTCAATTGCTATAGTCCTCTTCAGTTTCGTTCCTCGTTTGTGACTCTGTTGTCGGTTTCTTGTTTTTTTGCATTTCTCCAGCGAATTGTTAGGCCTTACACTAATTTTGTGCATTACCGCATTTCAGGTAGAGGAAGCCAGGCAATTGGTTCCTATACTTGAACAAAGGGGAGTTGTTCTTCCAGAAGGATATGTGTCCTTTAAAGTCGTATGCCAAAATCCAAATTTCCGGTATGTTTTTCTGTGTCCTTGATACTATGTTTCAATGGTGATTAAAAGTGTTGTTGTTTTCCTTATTCTTCCCTTTTGTATTTTTTATTGCTTTTTTCCTTCATATGTTTAAAGGCTTATTGCAGCAGAACCACTCTGTTGTAATGAACAATTTAGAAAACTATAAATATCAATATGTTGTCAACAGTCGCGAGCAGATGGCGTCAACAATTGGTCATTTCTCTCCATTTCTTCATTTGTATAATTAATTATTCAAAATTTATTTAAGGATTTTCTAATGTTTGGAATTAACTTCGGTATTGGAAAATCACATGTTAGAAATGTATTTAGTGTTGTTTGGATATTTGAAATCGAGTTGGCTATCTAAAATTGTGTGTTTGCATAAACTAATCATAATTTAAGTCAGAACAATTTTATCTGAGGTTTCGGGATTGTTTTCAGAGAAATGCACTAACGAAGCCCCTCGGAAAAGTAACAGAAGAGAAAAAGACGGGACAGGTGATCCCATAATAACAAATAATTGCCATTTAATCAATCGGTGGCCAAGCTTCATACCTTATTGCATCTATATTTGTATGTTTCTTTTACTTCATTTAGGTAACATGTATTGTGTATTTCTTCTTGGCCACCGGCTACTGTGATCACTGCATCCGAAGTGCTGGAGCTTGCTGAAACGAGAGCATCGCTCTCCCTGTACGGCGTCATACTGCCGGAAACTCTCAAGCCATGTGCTCTCCGGCGTCTCGGATTTCCCGATGCCACCGCATTCCGTGCTAAGGTACACGATTGCTCTGATGCCCCGTCAACTTTTCTAACTTTTCTAAGTTACATCTTTAATCGCCGATGAACTCAAAGGTGATTCTCTCTCTCTCTCTCTCTCTCTCTCTCTCTCTCTCTCTCTCTCTCTCTCTCTCTCTCTCTCTCTCTCTCTCGACTTCAACCCTTGAATTGTTAGATGCAGAGATGTAAGTACTTCAAAATTATACAATGAACAGTAGAATTTGTTGTTAAAAACAAAAATTGAAGCGGATTTGTTATGATATTGTTGCTCAATTTGTTGATTTCATATATATTTTTTATATAATACATGGATATATATATTTTAGCAATACATGTTAGCATCTTTAATGGAATATTCTGCTGGAAAATGGGATCAACGAGTGTTTGATCTGGTTAGGCCTATTTACCCAAATCGAATATGTTTTGATCATATAATTAAGAAAAGCCGTTAATTTAGGTAAGTTTTCGCGTTGGATATATTATTGGCTAAGTTGTTTGTTCGCTATCACAAAGTGTTCGATTTTTTTTTTCATTTGTAAATATGAAGATGTTCTTCAAGATGTGAATTGGCATCTATTGTTCATCTGTTTTGCATTGTTTGTTCTCTGTGATAACAGGTTCTTATAGAGAATCTTTGGTGGTTCTGCACTTGTTGATGAGATGTTCTTTCATTCTCTTTAGTAAGCTTTATAGTGTGTTAATCATTTGTTTTTATTATTCTTGCAGAATGATGTTGATGGCACCATGTTACATGCTTTTGAAGACCAAAGTTGGCTGGTATTGTTTTTTTATGAAGGTCAATGATCAGTGTTTTTATTTACCTTTTGAATTGTTAAGTAACTTTTTGAATCATCTCTTGCAGGTATGTTTTAAAGAAAATTTGTCTCTCTAAGAAGACAGAGAATTTCAAGAACAAAGAGTGCCACGAGGTTATTTTTTAAATACTTGCATTCTTGAGTGTTCCGGAATTACGTCATTTTTTTTTCGAGTTTGAACTATTTTGCTAGTGGACAAACATACTGTTCAATGAATAATGATTGTCCTAGAGTTAGTTCTAATGCATGCCTGTCTATGTTCGCAGATGAGTTTAATTCCAAAGCTACGCCATCCGTATATAATTGAATTTAAAGATGTTTGGGCTGACTAGGTATTTATGTTGTTTCGTTAATCTTGATTTTCGTGTTTGAAAGATTTTCTAAATTTCTGATATATTTTATGCAGGGAAACTGTATATGCATTGTGACCAACTACTGCGAAGTTGGAAATATGTAAGTAATTATACTTGGCTCAATCTATGTATAGCTTGAACTACTAGTATAAGGTCAAATGATATGTTCTACAGCTTATATATACACACGAGTATCTTTACGATAGATGATGAGAAATAATATATTTGAATCTCGGCTAATTAGCAATTGTTTATATTTGCTTAACTTTTAATTTTCAATTTGCAGATTTGAAAGTACAAAGAAGGTCGTGAGGAAGAAGGATATCGCTCCACTGAAGGAAGGACTGTGTCTATATATTATGTAGTTTATTTTTTAATGTAAGTTTCAATTTGAATTATTGACTCGGTGTATTTTGTATGTGTAATTGTACGATATATTGCAATGCAATTTTATTTCGGAAATCATTGTTTAGTTTTGTGGAATTGTATTATTAGTTTCTTTAATTTAAATATGAATAATATAAATATTATTTATAATAATTATTTGTTATAAGTTTTTTGTGACGAAATAATGGTCGCAATAGATATTATGTCTCATGTGACAAAATAATTTGTCACAAAACGTAAGTGAAAAGATTACTTCTTGTGACGACATATGTTTTTAGTGACGAACATATTCTGTTTCTGCGACGAAGACTTCGTCACAACAATAATACTTTATGTGACAAATTTTGCTTTTGTCGCAATATTTTGTGACGAAAACTTCAGTTTGTCACATAACACCTTTCGCGACGGGGCCTACGCGACGACCCCTGTGACGAAAAATATTGTCACCTAAAGTATTTTGCGACGAAATATTGAGTTTTTGCGACGAGTTTTTGCGTCACATAAAACAGTTTTTTTCGTAGTGAATGTCGATTTTTACCTATGAAATTCGACGCTTAAGTGTCGATTTGTAGCATAGTTTTTCGACACCTTGATGACGATTTTTGTTTTTTTCTTATTATTTGTATTTGGTCTTACATGAGAAAAAAAAGCCAATTTAATTTATGGGCATACTTGTCATTCCATCTTAATAAAATAGAATCTTTTGAAATCTTTCTTTAATTTAGTTTTGCACAAGTGGAATGAGTATTGCATATAGCTGCAGCCTTCTTATTATAATGGACGCAATTAATTTCTATTTTTAGGCCTAAAAAAGGAAAAGGAAAAATCAAGAAAGTTGTACATTTCCGGAAATACGTGAGTGGTGAGATCGAATCAACTATTGACAGACAAAGTTGTAATTATGATTGAATCTTAACCTATGCTGCACGGACACTTCTATAAGGTGAAGAGTCCCCGTATCCGATACCCGGACACTCGGATACACCCGGACACTTCTTGGATACCCGTGTCGGGCCGTGTCATAATTTTGCTAAAAGTAGGACACCCGTATCGGGCAGTGTCCATAATTTTAAAAAAGTTGCGACACTTCTTTTACGTTTTAAGAGAAAACCCTAATAAAAAAAATGCTCATTTTCTATTCTTTGTAATACATATTTCCTCTGTTTTCTTCCTGAGTCCACCCAAAACTCCAAAAGTCTACCATGCGACGGCGACCAAGAACACGACCAACAAGGGTTAGCGGTTCTCTTATGTGATGACGACTTATACATATTTTTTACAATTTATAAATGTACCCCTATATTTTTATTATTTATAAATATACCCCTATATTTTTTATATTTATAAATATACCCCTATATTTTTTATATTTACGCGTATCCCCGCGTGTCCGTATCCTAGTTTTTTGGAAATGCCGTATCACCGTGTCCGTATCCGCGTATCGCCGTGTCCACGTATCCGTGTCCGTGCACCATAGATCTTAACCCACCCCACAGACTTCACTTGTCCGAAAGGAACATCTCATCATAATTAGAAACTACAAATCTAAATTATAAATCAATTACAAATAAACTATGGAGAGAGATATGTTTGATAAAGAGATAGAGAGAAAAGAGAGGGGAATAAAAGAAAACGTGACAAAGACGTAGGGAAAGATAGAAAGAGCCATGTGTGTGATTTGTTCTATTTTTTATATACAGTTAAATTTCTATAAATTAATATAGTCGAAATTATGAAAATTTTATTAATTTGGCGAATTATTAAATTATCGAGTTAATAATTTAACACGCTTTCACCGAGTCGGAACCGAGAGAAACTATTATTTAATCGAGGTTATTAATTTATCGAGGTTCTACTGTATATGTATGATGCCTTGAGTAGTGTAGTAAAACGAGTTGGAAGAGCAAAGTGGATCAGTAGATCACGAGTTGGATGGTCCTGAGGTTCCTGCGAAAATAATACACGTGAACTAAGCCGGGGTTGATCCGGTAGAAACCCCACCGACGCACAAGTCAGATGTACATATCGTAGAGATTGTAGAGAGAATGTAAGCAGTATAATTGTTGTTAATAATAGAACATACCTTAACAAATGAGTAATTAAAAATATTTATTTATATATATCTTTGATTGTGTTGGATTTACTTTGTTGGGCACTAATTTTATTTGAAGGTGTTTGGGCTTTCGTTGTAGTGGTATTTTAAATCGGACTCGTGACCCAGTAGATAAATAAATCGTGGGTCCATTGGAACAGTCCAGTAGATATATATTAATAATTATATTTTATTTATATTAATTTTATTAGTCAAGTGGCATATAACTATTTCATGTATATATCATATTAGATTTGCACCCATATAAATTTGAAATAATAGTTGTCCAGCTATTTATCATCCATTCGTTTTATGCAGTAGAAACTAATATACATATTATATAAATGTCACTAGCTAGATATTTATATCAATCAAGAAAATGTTTTAAATAAACAGCATATACATGTCGTTTAATTTAATTTATTTATTCAGTCTCCTTTGTTTAAAAATATAATCCCCCATGGAACCCTAGTCATTAATTATGAGGCTGCCATTATTGCAGATCTCAACACCTTTAACCTACCGTATCTCCCTTCTTCATTATTATAAACTCAGCCAAAATCCAATATGTGTCTCTATTATATATATATATATATATATATATATATATATATATATATATATATATATATATATATATATATATATATATATATATTACGTATTTGATGATGATCGTATAACACATATAATTGAAGATTACATGATCAGAGATGACAACAAAGAGATGAGTTGGTATTAGGAACTACTAATAATACTTGTCCAGATCAGGATCGGAGGATAAATTAATCCTTAATAATCCTCATCCGGTGGTGGACCACACTTAATTTAATCCTCCAAAGTAATATTATAATTAATTGATTGATTTCTCCACCAACACCACCAGCACCAAGTACAACCAGCAACTGGACACAATGGAAGCATTTGAATTTCGACGAAAACCCCAAACAGAGATTAATATTAGCAGTGGCGATTTCGACAATAATAATAATAGTAATAATAATAATAATAAAAATCGGAGGGTTATGCATAGAGATATCGAAAGGAAAAGGAGACAAGATTTGTCGAAACTTCTTCTTTCTCTCCGAACCATTCTTCATCCTCACCAAATCAAGGTGATCGCTCTTTAATTACTTAATTCCCATATGATCATACATACGCGAAATGTTTGTAATGATTATTTATTGTTTTAAATTCGACGAGCGATCAAGTAGAGGAAGCTGCAGCGAATTACATAGCACACATGCAGAAAAAAATTCAAGAGTTGAGAATTCGCAGAGATAAGATGAAGCACTTATCAGGCACTAAGATTATTACAAGTAATTTATCAAAGGGTAGTAGTGGTAATTTGGTGAATTGTGTGGCTGTAAATCCGGTTCACTAGGGACTCGAGATTTTAATTACCAGTACTAGTACTTCTGTGTTAGGGGTTTCAAAAATTATGGCGGAATTGCTTGAAAGAGAGTTCGATTTCTTTAGCGGTATTTCGACAAAAACGAATACTGGGATGTTTCTGTTGGAAGAAATCTGCTATGAATGAATATTTGCGAGGAGAGTTGACTCTGTCCTTAAGACAAAATTTCCCCGCAACGGTGCTAACGGCTTGAACGGAAATCGTCTCCCACGATACAATGACAAGACTTGGAATAGGAGCACTCCAAATCCCAAGTACGACGAACTATACTTTGTGTAGAACTTTTCGAGTATACTTTGTGTAGAACTTTTCGAGAGAATCTGTGAAGGGTAGGCTAAATATGCAGTAGGTTGTTTTTGGATTGAAGTGAAGAATTATGGGAAAGACGGGGTCTATTTATAAGGTTTGAAAAGTAGTGACCTTTGGAGCAAAAAGGTACATTTTGGGCTGAATGGTTGCACCATTTCGAGTTGAGCCGATTGGGAATGGTTGCACCATTTCGAGTTGAGCCGATTGGTTTGCATTGGTTCGGCAGCACCAATTCAAACGAGTCAGACCATTCGAGATGGGCTTTGAGTAAAAAGAGGACGAAATTTCCCCGCAACGGTGCTAACGGCTTGAACGGAAATCGTCTCCCACGATACAATGACGAGGCTTGGAATAGGAGCACTCCAAATCCCAAGTATGACGAACTATACTTTGTGTAGAACTTTTCGAGAGAATCTGTGAAGGGTAGGCTAAATATGCAGTAGGTTGTGTTTGGATTGAAGTGAAGAATTGTGAAGGGTAGGCTAAATATGCAGTAGGTTGTTTTTGGATTGAAGTGAGGAATTATGGGAAATACATTCGAGATGGGGTTTGAGTAAAAAGAGAGAATTTGTGAAGGGTAGGCTAAATATGCAGTAGGTTGTTTTTGGAGTGAAGTGAAGAATCTGTGAAGGGTAGGCTAAATATGCAGTATGTTGTTTTTGGATTGAAGTGAAGAATTCTGAAGGGTAAGCTAAATATGCAGTAGGTTGTTTTTGGATTGAAGTGAAGAATTATGGGAAAGACATTCGAGATGGGGTTTGAGTAAAAAGAGATAATCAGTGAAAGGTAGGCTAAATATGCAGTAGGTTGTTTGTGAAGGGTAGGCTAAATATGCAGTAGGTTGTTTTTGGATTAGGGTTTGACCGCCCATGAGCTAATGTTTTTGGCCCAAGGCCCAAGCCCAATCCAATCCAATTGAAACACATAACATGTAGACCTTTTCCCAAACAAAGTTGAATGCCCAAAGGGCATGACCCTTTGCCCCAACATTTAGATATATATGCGGCATTTAGTACTTCTCTTTTTTTTTCTTTTTCTTTTAATACAAGATTACGTGCATCAATCTGCGCATACTAAAAAAATTTGAAGTCTTGTAATTTAATTTCATTGTGTTCAAATTTTATTATTTTGATGTCGATCGGTTAAGAGGTTTTAATTAATTATCCATTTGCCTCTTAATGTGCATTTTTTGATCCTTATATGCAGCCTAACAACCAGACATATATAGCTATGCATGATGAAATTATTTGTGCGTGTGCATTATAAACAAGGGTAAATTACAAACACCCCCTGAGGTATGGTTAAATTACAAAAAACCCCTCTTGTTTGGATAATTACACTTACCCCCCTCAACTATGATTTTTTCTTACGTTTATGGTGCCAAATTCAACATAATCATCTAGATTCCGTGAAATGTGCTCTAGTTTGTACTCTTTGTGTAAAAAATACAGTTTTCGATGCACCACAAACTGATATATATACAAGCTAAAAATCACATATTATGGTCATCTTGCTTCATAATGTAGAGTTTGAATGGGATAAAACGGGTACAAAAGTGATAATATTCCATATAATCTCGAAGATTTCACTAAATTTGATGAGTTGAGGGGGTGGTTGTAATTATCCAAACAAGAGGGGTGTTTTTGTAATTTGGTCATACCTCAGGGGGTGTTTGTAATTTACCCAAACTAATATGATTTACTAATTGCAATAAAGCCCGGGGCATTCTCGTCTTTTTACGCTTGGTCAAAGATTAAAATGACAATGGGTGCAGTGTACTTCAAAACATGTTACACAAGGGGGTATGAGTGATTTTTTTTTTTGAAAGGGGGTTATTTGGCAATTAGAGATTTCACAGTGGTGGTATTTGCAATTAACTCATTTAAATTAGGATAAAATGCACTTCGCCCCCTAGGAAGTTTTAAATTTTCGTTTTCCCCCCCTACAAATTTAAAAATGAGACTCTTCAATTCTTTATTCTAATTGCACTTTGCCCCAATTGACACTTTCCGACGTATTTTCACCAGTATTGTCCTTTCTCAGTTCACTTGAAGGGCAATTTTGTCCTTTTAGGTTATATACGTAATTATGTGCGCAAATCCCAAATCTTTTGATTCTTTGTAAGCCGCGATTATACAATTGAGGATTTCCAAAATTTGGGTTGCATTTTTCTCTCCAAAATTAGGGTTATTCTTTTGTCCTAGTAAGGCAAAAGCTTTTGAACAAATGTAGGATTTATGTTTAATATTTCAATTGTTTGAGCTACGATTTATGGTTTTTTTTTAATTCCATTTTTTTGTGTTTCATACATGACCTCTATTCTTTATGTCCTTTCCATTTTTCCGTTTCAAACTCATACTTTTTGAACCTATGGGATGGAATCACCGTAATAGATGGTAAAAGAGATTGAAGATTCTTAAAATTTTGGACCACAATATAATATGCGCAATTATGCAAGGTTGTTCATTTTATGAGGAATTCAATTAGATATTGATTTGTTCAACCGTATGCTCTCTTATGTGATAAGTTTAATTACTTAATTAGCTTCGAATTGGTTCATCAACTATGGACAATTGATTCAAGTGAATAAAGATGAAAGGGTCACACACTTAAATCAATTAAATATCAATCATATTATTTATTCATTAAAGAAGTACAAAGAATACTAATATCATTAGTAGCAACACAAGATTCTTGTATATAAGAGCTTTGTGGGTTTAGTTGATGTCCGTCCAAAACTGTGCTTGAAGATAGTCAATCACGTTCTTCTCAACTTGAAATGCCTTAGTCAGGACAGCTGGATTAATTTTGGGATCCGAACCAAATACTGCGTTCGCAACAGTAATGACGCCTGGATTTTGACTGCTCAAACCAGCAAATGCCACAGCATTGGTCTTTCCAACGTTAAATTGAAAATGTATCAAACCTTCTGGAAAGACGAAAACATCCCCAGGGTATAAATACTTTGTGAAGAGCTTGTTTTTCAAGGCGGGGTTAGCTGGATTTGACGTGACAAAGCCGACATAAAGAGTGCCTTCCATCACAACTAGAATCTCAGTGGCACGTGGGTGAGTGTGGGGCGGGTTCGAACCGTTTGGTGCATAGTCTATACGGACAGCGGAAATGCCCAGAGTGTTGAGACCTGGAATTTGGTTTACATTAACAGGAGTGACTCTTGATCCAACAAGATTAGAAGTATTTCCAGGCTTGTTTAAGCCCGGAAAAAAGAAATCTTCAGCCACAACCATATCAGGGTTCTTGCAGACTTTCCCATTCACAAAAACTATACATGCATGAAAAAAAGATGTCAAATTAAAGTTGTTGTTTGATGATTATCTAATATAAGGTAAATAATGTACAAATATAATTAGTTAGATGTTGAAATTAATTACCAGCTGCATCGGCATCTTTAACGGCAACACAAAAATCTTGGAGAGGGCTGGGATCTGATGCATATGCAAATGTAGCCCAACAAGAAATAACAAATATCGTTGTGACGGAGAGAATCACGATCTTCATCATTTTCTGATCTGATATATTAATTATCTGTGCTTATAACTTATACTTGGTATTTTTCTCAAGTGATGAGATTAGCATAACGTTGATGCTTATTTATAGAGATTAAGGTGCGAATTAGTCATCTCTGTTTCTCTTATAATTGTAATTATTTTACAAGAGTTGAAAAGTCTGTAAGACCTGGTTACCTAGCTTAGAACATGTATTTTATATATATATATATATATATATATATATATATATATATATATATATATATATATATATATATATATATATATATATATATATATATATATATATATATATATATATATATATATATATATATATATATATATATATATATATATATATATATATATATATATATATATATATATATATATATATATAGAGATATATATATATATATATATATATATATAAAAATATAAAACACAGACATAGATATTGACAGAGTATATATATAAAAATAAATATATATATATATATATATATATATATATATATATATATATATATATATATATATATATATATATATATATATATATATATATATATATATATATATATATATATATATATATATATATATATATATATATATATATATATACTACAGGTATACATAGGCCTCATTTGGGTCGTGTATTACATATTCTAGGCCCAAACCGCCGTCTTGCTACTACTTATTCTGAAAAGAAAATTTCTTTAATAGTAATCTATTCATGGGAGGAAACAAAATTACGAATGCGGGTTTAAATAATTCACTCTCTACCTATCTTCTCTCT